CACCTCCTCATGAAAGCTCCTTTGCAAAATCAGAAAGGACCCCCTATTACGTTCATCCATCACTTCAGTGGAACACGTTCCTACCACTAATGCCACGTATTCAGCTGTTAGCCTGCAGCAGTAGAAGAAAGGCTTTGCAATCCAGGCAGGTGGAGGCTGGGGGACAGCCGGGTCAAATACACAGAGCAAGGCACCAGCTTATTATTCCAGCTAATATATTGACACCTATTAATTTCAACATCACATAAATTCAGAATTAGCAGAATTGCCACTGATACTGCCCTCCACTACTCCTACTCCGATAATAAGGGTTCAGGCGAGGATACCCTTCTACTACTGTCAGCTTTGCAAATTTGCAATGATTTTTAAGTAGTTAATTTTATTTATCCAGACCATTTTCATTCCTGGGAACAAAGTGATCTTTACTGCCTAGAGCTCAGGTAGTTTGGTGCAGTGTAATGAAATCTTTCACGCTCTTGCAAGTAAAACTGCTTTCAAATGAGTGCACATCTGCCAGTGTGTGCTTGATGTATTTGCTTTGAAATTATTTAGCTATTACTATCGATTCCTCACACAGGTCATTTTCTGTATGCCAGTGAAATCTCCAGAATCCTACGCATTTTGCCAGAATTTATTAAAGCTACTAAGAAATTTGTAGTGTTTGCATAAAGAGTCTTTATTAACACTGGAAAGTAGCCTAGAGTAGCTATGTCTAAAAGTGCTGGCATGAAAAATCCTAAAAGATTTTCAAGATGGCAGTTGAAAGTGTCACGTGAGTCTTCTGTTGCTTAAAAGTGACTCTATTTGTTACAAATACAATCTCCAAAATCAGTATTTGAGCATAATGAAACACCTGTTTACCACTCTCCTTCAGCCGCACAGTGCAGTCACTACTTGTGTTCTTGTCCTTATCCAAATGCTGTCAGGAACATTTTGAAGACACTAAAAAAAATACCTAAGGAACTCAAATGTTTGACATTACAAAGAACAACAGGGTCAATCTCATGGCCTCTTGCCATTCATATCTTTTCTGTTTATGAACGTATCTTATCATCAAATTACACAACAATCACCTTAACTGTACAAGTAAAATTACTGTATTTTGCTTTTTGTTCTCTTTCTTCCGAAAGAGT